TCTTCTTCTGAGGGTTTCTGTGTAGCAGCAGGACTGGCAGCAGGACTTCCATCTGGACTGTCTACAACCATAGCCATCCTGGAAGTTTTTCACAGAGTCAGTCAGCTAAAATACAAAGAGTCATAGGTAACCTTCACCATACATAGGAGAACAGACAGCAGACTTACCAGTCATCTGGAGTAGTATCTTCACCACTGTGTGTTACAGAGTCGCTCTCCATGTCTGCTTCAACAAGTTAGCTCAAGGATCCCTGAAGGAAAAGTCCCAGGAAGGTTATGCTTCCTAATAATTTACTATAACTTTACAAACATGGCTTTGCTGGAAATGCACCCAGGCAGTTTCTCAGTATGTTTATTTGACTTTTTGTGTCCATGGTTGCAAACAATTAAGGTTCAAAGTATGTTGACATGTTTTAGCTCCTCCCATTGTATCTATCCCAACCCATTCTGCGTTGCATAATTCCTTCCCCAAACTTTAATAAACATACCTACAGAGAAAGGCCAGTGAACAGAGAAAAGCAAACAAAGCAACAACAGAGGTTCAGTAAGTACCACACTATATAAATGCAAGCAAGCAAAAAAGCAAAAACTAAGAAATAAAAGGTTTGATACAACACCACCACAGATTTCAAAAGTGTGTAATTAAATCAAAGTTATGAGAGCTGAATTTTTCCAAAGAGATTGGGCTTTAAAATAACTACATATATGCATTAAAACATATAATAAATATTAACCAAAGCTGGGACGAAAACCTGTCATAGCCAGACCCAGGGTTCATGTGTTTTTTGGGCTTGTCAGTATTTCTTGGGTTTATCTTGAGCTGGCTGCCCTCGCTGGTTGCCCCGCCCATGTGTCTGCTTATCAGCTGATTATCATTACGTGCAGTCTCCCTCTTAACTGTGGGGCTGAGCTTCAGGCAAGCCTGGATCGTTGAGTTTACTCAGCAGTACATCCCCGGCCTCATAGTGAAGACTTTGTGTGTGTCTTGTCTTGCCAGGATTTGTTAATGGAGTGTTTCACAGGAGCTGTACAGTTTGGGATTTGGAGTTTCACGATTCACGCCAAGGACACGCACCAATGTGGGATTTTAGAGAAATCGCCATGGGAGCCACGGTGTGGGGATTGTCACGTTGTTGTTTACCTTTCTTCACTGTAAATAAATTCACTGTCACTTTTTGGAAAAGTCCTGCGTTGGGTCCTGTTCTTACTACAAAAGTGACAAAACCCTTCTGTCCTTAATAAAAATGGTCAAATATTATTTCCTCTAATGTCAGTAAGAGCAGGTTGATTTTCCTGGCCTGCAGGCCGTTCACCATGTCACGAGTGGACTGACTCTCAACCAAAAAGTAAATAATCCACATCCTATTTTGCAATCATCTGTTCTATTTAAAGTCAAAGAATGATATTCCTTTTTATCCTGACTTAGAAAATATTCTTTTAATAACATATTTTAAATTGAAAACGTTTATTACACAAATTAGCGTCTTCAATGATGACATATAACCCATATAATATTTAATTAAATGGTAAATGGTAAGTGGCATGTATTTGTATAGCGCTTTACTTAGTCCCTAAGGACCCCAAAGCGCTTTACACTACAGTCAGTCATTCACCCATTCACACACACATTCACACACTGGTGATGGCGAGTCTCGGCCAGACTCTTTTGGTAGAGATCAGCTTCTGACATAAATCTGGCTGGATATTTGACCACACTTCTTGGAAACAAAGTTAATTTAAATTGGTTGGTTTTGTGGCTCAGATTTAGCTTTTAAGTATAGACCAAAAGTTTTTAAAAGGTTTAAGGTCGGGGCTTTGGGGAGGCCAGTCCAGATGCTCCATGTTAGACTGCTTTATGCATTCAAAACCAGTTTTGATGCGTTTGCGGTCATTGTCCTGTTGGAACACCCATCTGTGTCAAAGTTTCAAGCCTCTAGCTGTTGATTTGAGGTGAAGTTGAAGTATTTGGAGGTAGTCCTCCTTTATTATGCCATCCACTTTATGCACTGGCAACAAAACACAGCAGAGCATGGTGCTACGACCATTATGCTTGACAGCAGATGAAAGCCTCACCTGTACTCCTCCAAATACGCCTCTTGTCATTGTGTCCAACAAGCTCAGTCTTTGACTCATTTGACTATAAAACCTTCCTCCAGATTGCTAAAGCACATAGTTAGGGTTGGATCAGGTGACTATTAATCATCCCTTAGTTATGCTGCAACATTCCCATGATGCACTGAGTATTTCTTCTTTAGTCACCTTTCTCACTCGCTATATGTTAATAGACCTCCCTGCTTTGAATCGTACTTGTTATTAATCTCTGTCTCTCATCCACAGCATGTCTTTTGTCCTGTCTTCCTCCCCTCACCCCAACCGGTCACGGCAAGTGGCTGCCCCTCCTGAGCCTGCTTCTGCTGGATGTTTCTTCCTGTTAAAAGGGAGTTGCCAAAGTGCTTGCTGATAGGTGGTCATATGATTGTTAGGTTTTTGTCTGAATGTATTATAGTAAGGTCTACCTTACAATATAAAGTGCCTTAAGGTGATTGTTGTTGTGATTTCCCCCTGTATAAATAAAACAGAATTTAACTGAAATTATAAAGATTTGGCTTGTCTATGTGAGCAGCTACAAACTTCAGCCGAGCTTGAAGACGTTGATTTTGGAGCAGTGAGACGGTGACGCTGGTGTTCCCACAGATTGTAGTTGATGGCAGCTTGAGCTTTGGTGGTTCCTGGGTGTGAGCTGGGTGTGGACGGGCCCAGGTAGGAGGCATTTTGAAAGCGAAAGACATTTATTTTTCCACCAGACAACAAGACAAACACTTCTGGCCATCACCCTCCACAGACAGATTCCAACACAACTCAGCCCCAACAACACCAGCACCACACTAAGACCACATGTGCTTAGATACTATTAGGAATACGCCATAAGACAATTCAAAGTGTGTTCGCACAAAAATAAATACATAAATAATTGTATACATGTGTAAAACACTTTACTAAACTATTTGCAATCTCCATCTATATTTACAAACCCCTTAATGCCTAATCCCCATTCTGTACGTGCTCTCAGGCCATTAAATACCCTCCAAACTACAGCTGAAAGAATAAAAACTAAAAACTGTCTTATGCAACTTTAAACATGAATAGCCTGCTTGATTATAACTCATTAGTTTCTCTGTGCCTGAATGACAGAGTTCTGTTTATAAATTTGTTAATTTAAACAAGTTTTTTAACTTCTCTTCCTGCCATCAATTGATGGAACTTTTTAAAAATTGTTAAGCTCTGTTCCAGTCTTACTGATCAAAATGACTTTTAGTCTGTAATATGTGTGTAACCTCTTCATATTGACATTATTTAAATAACAATAATAATTTTTAAAAAACGAAAGTATTCAGGCTGGTATCGTACCTCTGTGTTTCTGTAAAATAAACCACTGTCTCCAGTACGCCACACACCAGCTCGGCAGATTCTCACACAACCTGTTCACCCGTCAGCTGATTAACGACTACTGCTGATTTAGGAAACACGCCCACTTAAACTCGTGATAATCAAATTAAGGTCGAAGTTCTGGCTCCACCCATTCTATAAAGGTTGTACAATGTTTTTACCCAAACTTTAATCAGTGTACATACAGATAAAGAATAATTAACAGAGAAAAGCAAACAAAGCTGACTTTTTCCAAACGGATTTGGGTTTGAAATAACTACATTTATTAATTACAAACTTTATTACAACAAATAGAAATATTAACTGGGGTGGGGGCTTTCGGTCCTTAATAAAATATGCCAAATTTTATTTCTTTTAATGTCACATAAAACAAAAACACATGTGGCAAAATCACTTTTTACCACGTCTAAGGTGTACCCTGCCTCTTGCCCTATAACAGCCGGGACAGGCTCCAGTCCCTGAATTAGATAAACAGAAGAGAGTGGATGGATGCCAGGGACGTGCAGAGAGGTTTAAAGGGGCGGGTGCTCAAAGTTAAAAAGGGGCACATTGAA